GTCTGTTAGATAACATTATTATCTTTATAAATATGGATAATTTCTCTAATTTTGAATTAGAAAAGAGGAATTCAAACACACAAATACAAATATGCAAAGATATATTCCATTATATCAAAAGAAGCTTCTATACTGCTATTCATGACAATCAATTATATCATTTCAAATATATGATGAGATGTATTTTACAAATTAGGAAACGAACGTTTATTAAACAAAAGTGACAGTAAATAGCGTTACATTCATCACCGACTTAGCGGTGTTAATATTTTCATATCAGTAGCGAGCGTCAGGATATGAAGGTTACAAAACGCGAAAGCCTGTCGTCCGGAATGTTTAATTTCTGAAGGATGAAGGAAATACCATTCATTCTTGGCCTAACAAACAGATGTATTCAGAATAAATATGTGATAAAAAAACACAATAAAAAACGTTGAAAAAAATGGATATGCGCAAATATTTCCATGATTATTATGATTGCAGCTTTCATTGTAATGCTTTTGAACAGATCGTGAATTCAGAAATTCAAGTGACCAGTGTGTTACTGGTCATTTGGTCCAATAAGTGTAAACAGCGCTTAAGTAATGATAACAACCGCGAATAAATGTCGCAAAATCCTGGTACCAAAAGGCTGAATGTAAGTTTCAATTGGCGATAAAAGTATGTTAGACGTCATCAGCCGTAAGTCGTGTGCACATTCCCCTTTCCTAATCTGTTTAATTTGCACTCCGTTCTACTTTTGCTAACAGCCACTTACACACAAATTTTGCACATGGCCCTTACTATTCACGTTTGTTGTCTTTATTGCACACGATTAGGTTTTGCACACGTAATGTCCCATTTTCTATAAATATAGTCACATTTTCCAAAAGGTCAGAAGATAAACACCAGTTACCTACGTCGTTTTGAGAGGACTCAAAAATTGTTTTAAAAGGCAAGATGTCAACAGTCGCAGGTAAGTTGCTCATTTGTTTTACAACTAAATCAAAATGCTGAACAATTCAATTTCAAAAATATGTTAAAACATTATTTTTTTATTTACCAGTGAACATATTCGAGATCACAAATATCTTTGTGGAAAGTCGAAATCTTCTGTGAAATAATCACTAAAAAAACATTTTGCTAATAATGAAATCCTAACAAAAGTCAAAGCTTCCTCCATTATATAACCAGTAGCACTCAAGTCAAAAGAATGAAATATGCGTCAATTTTTTATTTATATTTTTTGAAAATGCCACGAGACAGGCTCCTCAATAACAGTGTACACTTCATAATATACATGCAGTTATGAATAATACATATTTTAAACATCTTTTGCGGTCCACATTTTAATAAATTGGCATTCAGATTTTGATTTTATTGAATTTGTAATGGCTTTTCATATTAGCAGATACCAAATTTAATCTTAACGTACAAAATCTGATCACAAATGGCAAATAGCAACCTTAGTCACACTCCATATCACATTTTTTTCTAAATTAAGGAGTATTTATAAAAAGAAAGAAAAACACTTTTACAGTTGAAATACAGGATAAATTCTCCAAAATAAGGTATTTTTTGTTTCCTTTTTAAACATTTAAATAGAATGACATTTTTACAAATTCGAATCCAACCTTGACATTTTTACAAATTCGAATCCAACTTTCATTCCTGATTACAATATTCAATATTTCCTCTATTTTGTATTCTCCAATAAACCTTTTTGTTAATTGTTTGATTAAATTGAATTAAAATCAACGAAATATTACTATTCACATTCTCCTTGCCAGGTCCTGGTAATTTATCATTTTTATGTATTTGGTAATTGATTATCGTCTAGCTTACGATTAATTGTGTCATTTGTTATTCCAGCAGCTAATGAACTATATCACAATTCACTTTCTACCTTTCAATGTATTTATTTTATCGGCTATTTCTGCCAAAGTACTTGTGTTTATTTCATATGTTCACAATGACAATTACACTTCAAATGGAAGAATTTTTCTTTAAGACATCAATGACGTTGCCTGCCTTTTTTTCATCTTCCTATATTTTGCTAGTTACATAGTATATCCTTGGAGTGTTCCCAGTACTTTTACATTATCAGTGTCAAGAATAATTTTCCACTATACACTTTCCAATACCATTCTTCTGCTTCTCATTCCGGTAAAGTCTGGAATGTAATCGGAGTTCCACACTGATCTTTTTCTTTGAAGTGAAAGATGTCTTATCCAAAATTATTCTAATCACAAACAACTTAATTTGGCATACTTTTTATTCATTGTAGAATAAACTAACCACACCCAACATTAAACAAAAACCGTACAAGCCGTTTGTTTACTTTTAATTTTCAATCCAACTTTAATTTACTTCATTGGTGAAATTATTCTATCAGAGATCACTACGAAGACATGTGTGATGAATTATATTGGTCTGTTGTTATTTACATCCCCACAGCCTCGTTCTGTGCCAAGTGTCCGGGCGGAAGGTGTGGCTGTACAGGTTCGGCTTGCTGTAGCACCAACTGTAGATGTCCCGGATGTAAGGTCAACTGCGGTTGCTTCTGTAAGTTTTAGTAAGACTTAAATATAATGTTTATTTGTAAAAGTAAATTCAAAAAGCATCAATGTTTTATATTTAATAGTAAATCACAAATGTTATGCCACATGTAACAGACACATCACGATATAAAATGTTAATGTTACAATTCTGTCATAGTTTTGAAAGGACTACTCTGTCATACATCTGCCTCATGAGGATGATATCATACACACAATGCTTGTACGTTATGGTAAAACATCTGCATGTAATGCTATGGTTAAGAAAGGTCATATAAAATGGAACTTCGTGCTCTGCAGAATGACGCAAGTATTATTTTACCTACGTCATACAAAACATAACTGGGAAGCTTTTTTTCAAACTAATAAGCTTAATGTAAAGTGTAAAAAATTAGCTAATTGTGTACATTGTGTTTCTAAACAAGCTGCAAAGAGTGCGAACTGTCCCGATGGAATTTGCCAGATGGGAGCTGCGTGCGGGTGTGGCTGTAAGTGCAGCGCCGCATGCACTTGTCCTAACTGTAAGGCCGGATGCAAATGTGGAGGTAGTGTTCAATAGTTTTATAATACCAAAGTGGCTTTATACTATGATGAGAAGGAGATAGTTTTAACATTACTTTGTTTTGTTTTGGTGAGACTATGATAAAGGTTAGGTAATTTGACTCGTCACTTCTTACTTCAGGTAAGAGGTGAGAGAGTTGTTGATACATAAGGCAAAGAAATTAAAATGAGATTATTGCGACGCAGTTTTACACTCACTTAATCATTGTGTGATAGGTTCAGATAAATTGTCTTTTAGATCAGATAGTTGTCTGTAACTAGTGACAGGTGGTTTTGATAATTGATTTCATAATGTACTGGTGTTGCCTTTATAAAGTTTGTTCTTGTATCCGTCATGTCTTTATGACGTAGTAAATGTCAGGTTGTTGTATCTGTCATGTCTTTATGACGCAGTAAGTGTGCGATTGTTGTATCTGTCATGTCTTTATGACATAGTAAATGTCAGGTTGTTGTATCTGTCATGTCTTTGTGACGTACAGTTGTTAGTGTCAGGTTGTTGTATCTGTCATGCCTTTATGACGTAGTAAGTGTCAGGTTGTTGTATCCGCCATGTCGTTATGACGTAGTAAGGGTCAGGTTGTTGTATCTGTCCTGCCTTTATGACGTAGTAAGTCTCAGGTTGTTCAGCTCCTACGTATATTCGTAAGTACATTTTTGTGTGCATACCCAGACTGTGTGAGGCAATGATTATTTGGTAATTATACGTTGATTTTTTCTAGAAACACAGCCAAAAGTGTAATGATTCCTATAAATTCAAATGCAATTAGAATTTTATTATTTCTTCTGCTTAACACTAACATCACATAATTAATTTCGGAATATTTCAATTGGTTCGATTCACGTTTGTAAAATAAAACTGCTTATTGAAATATATATCATGATTGGATCTTGCTAATTGCACAAATATATAAGAGTGTACTGTGCTAGGGGCATTAAATCTAAGAAACCTACTATATGCTGATATTCGTACTTATTCCTTATGTGACAGGCACCAACTTCGTGTGCTCCGCTCAATGCCAGTCAGGACAATGTTGCGGAACCAAAGCATGTCGGTGCAGCGGCAGGTGTCCATGCCCAACATGCAGGTGTAACTGTGTGTCTGGTAAGCTCACAAACATTTTGTAAATTTATGAAAAGATGACTTACGAAAATCTAGTTTGATAGAACATTATATAAACTATTTGTGTCGACATCAATGTAATCGTTGTCTTCAATAAACATTTATGTTATATGAATATATAAATGACGGAGCATGCCCAATATTGGAAATGATTTAGAAGAACAAACTGTGAAATGAATCGTATTTGACATTTCAGGATCATGCAAGTGTGGTATGCTCTGTACTGGACCCAGCACCTGTAGGTGTGCTGCAGGCTGCACGTGTAAGCTGTAAGCGATGACGTCTTCGGCAAAATCACAAACCAAATGGGACTAGCGATGCTACACCTGTTAACATTGCATGCGGACATTTCGATAGACATTTCAGTTTAAATATCCGTGATTTGCGATTGTCTCTGATATTCTTCACTATCAACTGGAGATATAATATCAAGCGATCTTTAACTATTAGTCTTGCTATCCAATTAATGTCAAATATTTTGGAAAAACAAAATTAATGAAAATAAATTATTGCATACACTTTATATGTTTTTTTCTTATTCATGTATTATATATTTTTTTATAATAAAATCAAATGATAACAATATTCTGCATACAAACTAAAATGTTGCCAGGAAACAAATTCCCCAAGAATATGTTAAAAAATGGTTTACTTACTAATCACTTTAATCTTGTATGTGAAGATATCATTTTCCACATAAAAGTGTATGAAACACCTACTTTACCATGTCGGAATTAAAGGCAAAGAATATGTTGACAGAGAAACAAAACATGCGTTAAATCTCCATCAAAATACCATACACAGATTTTAAGCCTATTATTCGAACTGCCAATGAAAACACATGGTAGCAACGCTGGTCTCTCGAGACCAGCAACAAACTTTTAGAGGTACAACCAAAGCTTATAACATGTGTTCCCAGTCGGAAAGATCGTAGAGAGGAAGTTGTCCTCGCTCGGCTCCGTACTGAACACACATATCCTACTCATTCGTACCTTTTAACACGAGGAGATCCACATACATGCCACGCATTTAACACTCAATTTTCAATGGAACATTTCTTAATAGAATGTTCTGATTTCAGACACATTCGTGATAATTACTTTCGAATCTCGGATATGAAAATCCGTGGACTCTAAGGCATTATTTAACTTTTTGAAGTACTTCGGTCTATCTCATGGACTCTGATGTCTTTTAACCCACCTTACCCTCTTTGACGTTATCTATACGTCATATTTTCTATATTATCTATTCATTATCTCTTTAACCTTTATTTTATCACCTTTCATATCTTAATAATTTACACATACCATGCTTATGATTTTAAAATGATCATTTTTTATTTTATTTTATCTACGCTACCTACATCATGTTTGTTTAAAAAACAAAATCACCATGGCCCTAAATTACCAGATTTGTCGATGGACCGTTAAACATAAACAAACAAACAATACAAACAAAGTGAATATATAAACGTGTATGGAGTAGTATTAATCAAACGCATCTGAGGTGTAAATCAATTCCATTCTCGTTTTGATCTGATGTTACAGATTTTCATTAAATTGAACAAATCACAACCAATTACAAAAAAAATAGCATTTATATAAAAAAAATGTTAGGAAAAAGATAGCTATTGTTAATAGAACTTTCTACTTAAAATAATGACCAGTTAGGCAATCATTTTGAAAATTCGACAAAACTGTGAACCCTCTTATAAGGCCATACCATGCTAAATATTCACTTTTAAATACTAGATTGATCACTTAGTTTCTCTCTTTCTTACCATTTCTTACAGACGCATTATGAAGTTTGCTGTGTAGCAAAAGTCATACGATAAGAAGTGTAAAAATAGTTATTTACATCATATGAAACCCTTTGGTAATTTTACCATACAAAAAGTGACAAAAACACAAACATAATACGAAAAAATACAATATGGACATTTCGTTTTCGCATTTGTAAAACGATTGAGTCTTTTTCTTTTAATTCAATAAATACCAAACTAGTTATCCGAAATGTCTATATCAGTCGCTAGATTAGGACAAAAAGTTTGAAAACTTAATTGAAGGGGTAAACATAATTGGGGTTTTTTTTCTGAGGAAAGCTTTAATTTAAAAGATCCACTTCTATCACAGAGAAGAAAATTATTTCTGTTAATCATGCAAAAACCTTACAGATATACAATACCTTAAATTTTCTCCTTAGTCAGAAGAAAATTATTTTTTACAAGGACAGATCCTTAAGTGTCTTGATGTGTGCGTGTGTATGAGAGAGATCCGTGTTTAGCACATTTAACGATAGTGTTCAACCTAGACAATAATATGCTCCACTCTAGGCAGGTAGGATTAAAACACAAGGGTCAAATGTTAAAGTGTTTTTTCTAATACGCCGAAGCCATAGGTTAAAATCGTTGGCAGCTTGCACTTAACCATACAACTCTAGTTCAACGCATAACAAAAGGTTTATTTTAAATCAAACATTTTCATTGGTTCAGATTGCAGAACACAGATTGTTTCGCATAGACTAGCATTACTTCCTCGTTAGATTCTTTGTGAATGTATTCACCCTAAAGATGATGTTGATAAACCTACACTGTAATGCGGCTATTTTTTGTGGTAATTATGTCATCAATTATCAATTCATTCATTCATTATTCGTGCCCTTACAGAAAGGCTGGGTACCTATTTGAATTTTCTGTTGGCTGTTACCTTTCATATTTATTTCTTGTGTAAATATAACATGGCGGGTATGCCGTCATTATATGTATGAAATTAAGGTCAACCCGGAGATCATTCCGAAATATGAGAGGGTAAAGTAGATGAGAAAATTAAATATTTACATTTGCATGGCATTGTCACTATATAGCCTCTTTGAAAGCTGTGTCGTTGATGGGACTTTAATTACCATGCATCACGAGACACAATTCTTAGCGTATTAATACAACACTGACCGGAAATACAATATCAAATAAAAATAAACATGACATCTGCTGAAATATCGCTGGGCATTGTGAGTCTGCAATATCGTACAAAATGCACATCGGTTGAAATCACCAATGCCAGCAATGGAAACAATTTTAACGCTCATGCAATTTATTAGAAATATCGTCTGTTACACTGCACTGATCAACAGGGGTTCGTTACAAATGTCTGAAATACACATATGTTACAGACCTACTGATATAAGTCACAGCACGCATAAACATTTCAGACATTTGTAACGAACCTGTGCTCCGTCGCAAGATCACTCACTTCAAACGCTATCAGTTTCACGCGTCTCGCATCCGCGATTCCTCAGTTTCTGACGACATGTCAAATAACGAGGCTGTTATAAAATCTACCGACTGTTGTCAGGTTCCCATACAATCAACAAATACATTAACGCCTTGATTCTTCACAAAATGAGCAAAGAGAAAAGTTCGAATTAACTTCCAAAAATAACTCCCAATTTAAAATCAAACTTTCAGCTCAGAGTTCTATTGATAAACATAAATCACCCTGTCGACATATCATATGCAATTGTATTGATACTGAATTGTGGTAAAAAATTAAATTGTTTGTTAAAATTTCAAAGTACTACTTTGTTTGCCAATCAGCATGCGACAATACGCTTTTCAAACTTTTGAATGAAATTGTGTGGACTGTCGATAAGGCAGGCATTTTTAATTTTAAATATAAATTATGAGTTAAAAAAGAACATAAGAGGCAGAGAAAACGTACCCATAAGTATTGAACTGTTTTTGTATGGTATTTATGATCTATTTGAATGACACAGCTTTGCATGCAAACAAATAAGTGTTTGCTTGCAAAGCTGTGTCATTAAAAAAGATCATAAATACAATACAAAAACAGTTCAATGCTTAATTAATAGCCAGAGTGTATCCCATTTCCCCCAAAAAATGTTTCTTCGGCCAAGCAATCGAATGAATAAGAAGTAATTGAACTGGTAGAAATTTTGATTTTAATTATAATACACATTATAATCGAATTGTAATTCAAACACGGCTTAATCATCTACATTTTATCGCTTTTGATTATTTCTATCATTTTCTTTTACAATATAAATCGATAATTTAATTATTACCAGGCGTTTTAACATTATGCATTGAAGTCGATAAGTAAGCCAGCTATAACATAAACGGTTTTGAGATCTATTTACGAATTGATGCAAAAGTAAATAAATACCGATGAGTATCTTTGGAATGAAGACAGTTAGGTAGGATATGCGAATTACATTATGAATGAAGCTTTAGCAAGAATCAATAGCTATGTTCCCTAAAATTTAAACTTGACCAGAACACACTACCAAAATGCATTTTTCATTGATAAAGACCTGGTATAAAACTTCCTGATTTAATATGGGACAACAATCTTAATGAGTATATGGCTATACTTGCAGATATCAATGTTAACGCAGGTAAGATTGTGTCAGGTGCTATCAAACTAACCTACTAAGTAACAGTACTAGTTATATCAGTTGACGTGAAGTTTATATTGTGATAAAATTCGATTAAAATATAAAACCGGAAAAAGTCTGTATGATTTAATTCATACTGATAAAATCCTGGACCCTCTCTCCCTATATAATCCTCAATGTCCGGAATAAAAAATGTATTGCTGTGGTATTTTAGATGACAGACACATGTTTGTTTTTATAAAAAGGTAATATAAGACAAGGCAAGTGTTAGTATTTGTCAACATCATGTCAAGTCTGCAAATAAAAAGTTATAAAAAAAAACGGAAAATCTAACTGAATATATTTTCGTCAGTTTTCCCCCTCATTTTTCTTGTTATATATAATTGCCTGCCTGTCTGTCCTTCTCATATTGCTTTTTTCCCTATATCTTAGTGCTTAACACTTTCTTTTTTTGGAATATGTTTCGATGATGATGATGATGATGATGATGATGATGATGATGATGATGATGATGATGTACATATGCAATACTAATAGTGAATAGCGTTATATTTTATCAATACTGATGATATTCTAAACCACAAATGGTCAATTTAATATTCATAATGTTATGCACTTACATGATAAAAATAAAAATGAATACAAAATAACTAATATGTGACGAAAGTTGTTACACACAGCTATATATTTTTCAATAATGTTTGAACATATTCAAGGTGTGTTACAGTTTAAATGACTGAACAAGAATGTTAACTTGTAAACAGTGCGTATCAAGAAACAACATTCTTGAATATACTATTTACATGATATGTGTAGGCACACCTCTGTTATCAGGAGGCTGAATGTATAATTCTCTTAGCGATAAAAATATGCTACATAAACGTAATCAACCACATGTCGTGTGCAAATTCCCGTCTCATGATCCATTCAGTTTCCACACGGTCCTAGTTTTGCTCACACCGCCTTTACGTAAATTTTGCACACGACCCTAGTTATTCACGTTTACTATCTCTCATGCACACGAAGGTGGTTTGCACACGCATAGTCACATTTCCTATAAAAAGAGTCAAATTTTACGACTCAGTATTCGCTGAAGATCTCTTATTCA